GTGGTAGCTTTTGGTTCCAATCCCTTGAGCTGATGGGGCCCACTTGGTGGAGCCATGGGATACACGAGTCAATATAATATCAATCCTGAAGAACTCTAGAGGGTGTGGATCTATATAGAACGAACAACAGTGTATCCACAACCCAACCATTTTACAAACTCCATCAGACATGATTTTATGTCTGTTAGCCACATGGATTGCAAAGGGAACTATTGATTTACCACCATTCCCACTTGATTGATTAACTGGGTGGTAATGAAGTTCAATGAACTTCCACTGTCAATCAATATCACAACCTCTTGGCCCATGAGTGAGCCCATCATCTTCATAGTCTGAGGGGCCCTAACCCCAGTAAGGCATGTGAAACCTCATATGTTTCTTGAGCACTGTATCAGTGGGGTCCACTGGGGAATCTTTTGCCTCCTTGGTTTCGCTTTAACTTCCTCGGGTGTGTAAAAGAAATAGCTGTTGGGCCTTGCAACAGTGTCCGAGAGCGAAATTTTCCTCACAATTATAACACAACCCCTTATCTCCATGGGCTTGCATCTTGGCCCATGAGAGTTTCTTAATGTGGACTAGGACCTGGTTTGGTGTCTTGGGTATGCCCAATTCAACCCGTGTTGGAGGGGCCTTAAGGATTGACCCCTGTTCTAGTCTAACTGGTGGCTTAAGGGGGTTCTTAATGAGTGGTGCTAGGGACCGATTCACCTTCTTGTATCTCTCAATCTTTTCTTCAAATAGTCAGGCCAAACCCACAACAGCCATTACTGTCGATGATTACATAGTTTTCATCTCTAGTCTGATATCCTCTCCAAGGCCCCCTACAAAACACCCCGTTAATGCTCTCTCAGGCCATCCATGAATCCTAGAAGCCTGTCTCTCAAATTGGTTTTGATATTCTCTTACAGTCCCAATTTAGCATAATTTGACAAGCGGTTTGTTGAAGTCTTGAAACCTAGAAGGGCAGAAGCGAACTTTGAGAGTTTTAGTAAAATAATGCCAGGTTAGTTGAGGATGAGACCTTTTGTACCATTGGTACCATAGGCTGGTTTCCCTATCTAAGTGAATCGAGGCAATCTGGATCCTCTGAGAAGTAGGGATGTCATGAAATTGAAAGGACTGCTCAACTTTGTAAATCCAGGGTATAGGATCCTCACCTGAGAAGATTGGGAAGTTGATCTTCACTGCTTGCACAGATGGAGTTCCCATCTGTCGATGGCTATTCCCACTGGAACCTTCTTGATTGCCTTCCTTGTTCGATTGCATTGAGCTTTTGTTGAACTGAGAGATGAACACAGAGAAAGTTTCCTTCATTTCCTTCAAATCCCCATCTAGCTTGGTAAGTTGTACTTCAAGCTGATCCACTTGCTCATCCACTATGCTGTCTTTGGTGTTGGACATTCTGGATTGTTGACTTTGATAACAATTGAAAATTGATAAACCCTGAAGTCTGATCATATGAGCTTCTTGAAGAATGAATACAGCAAGAAGGGAGAAGAATGGAGATGAGAAGGGAAAAAGGTAGCTCAGATATTTTTGAGATGTTTATATCTCATCATATCAATCTTCCATTACACCAATTACAAGCACATGGGGAGGTCGAGTGAGTTATGCTGATATGGCCTCCTGGTGTGTACAAACTTGATAGGTTGTGCTATGTGAGATACTCCCACTAAGCTGTTGGCTTTAATGCCTGAAGCATGAGGTAGCTGGGCTTGGGCCCTAGGTGCTAATGGGGGACTTCTGTGCTGGTCCATGACTTCCTATCAGACAACATATTTGGTAATGATAGTTTAGCTTATTTGGAAATGTATTTTGTCTTCCAAGCGGCTAGTCTGTTTTCAAAGCACTCTATTACTGGATCCTATAGCAATTTTAAGATGCAACTAGCATCAAGTGGGAGATCCACATATCTTGAGTGGAGTATGCCTTTTCTGTACCCTAACATTGAGGCTAACTCATTTATTTGGATGCACTCCAACATGTATGATACTTTTKCCTGACGCTGCTAACACAAAAAATAACATGTCATTTGCAAACCACAAAAGYGAATCCTTCCTTGTCTCCCTACTGGAAAACCTTTAATAAAGCCTTAATCAATTCCTTTGTTTGTCAAGAGAGGACAACAGATCACCTTATCATGTTTTAAAACATGGAGGCGTGACATGAGGCATTCCACTACATGGAGGCAAACGTAAGAGGCGTAAGCCTCCTTAAGAGGAGGGGGATGAGGAGGAAGGAGGAGGAGGGGGAGGAAGAAGAGGAAGGAGGAGGAGGGGGAGGAAGAAGAGGAAGGAGGATCTCATCTTTCTTTTTTTATTAATAAATATCATCCATGCCTTATTCCCATATAGTTGGGATAAGGCATGGATGATGATGATGATCTTTTATATTGAGGAGGATCTTATTTTTTTCTTCTTTCTTTTCCTTTCCCTTCCCTTTTCTTTTCTTTCCTTTTTCTTTCTTTTTTTTTTCATTTTTTGTTTTTTTTTTTTGTATGAGGTGTGCATGAGGCGCAGCACATGAGGTGTACGCCTCTAGCACACCTCATGCCAAAGGCGTACGCCTTAGAGGCATCAACGCCTCTGGCATACACCTCCGGGCATTTTCGGGGTGCCTTGCCTGGGAGGCATGCCTCCAGGCGTACACCTCCCATGCCTTTTAAAACACTGGTCTAATTCCCCTTGAGCTTTTAAAGAATCCTGTGGATGATCCATTTATGAGAATTGTGAATTCCATAGTCATTACACATACCTTCATCCAATTTCACCAAGTCTGAACGAAATTCATCATATCCACAATATAGTAAATGCTGTCAAATTCTTTTCAAAAAAGGGTAATGAGTACTGCATCATATAAAAAATATGTTATCGGAGCTATTGGCCTTCTTCAGGGAAAACTTTGTTCTTGGTGATGATTTACCTACTTTACAAAACAATCTTTGTATGCATAAGGCTGATGAAAAAAAATTCTTGTAACTGTAAAGAGTTACTACAGCACTATTAATTAGGTTATAACTTAAGAGATTACTTAACATTTCCATGCATGTGATATTTACCACAATTTAAGGTATTTGTCTTACATAAAATGTGATACAAAAAGGGAAAAAAAAACAGTGTGGCTTTGTAGTAAAATGATTTTCTGTATTCCGTTAGGACTTAGGATAATAGGAAAAATCTCTTAAAACCTGAGGCCTTGGAGTGATGCTTTGGTGTTGAATTTCTTTAAATTGGAAGCACTAATAAGGCTATGGAAAATACTACATATCTTTCTTGTTATGTATCTTCTCAATAGCTTTTATCAAACTACATCAGCTTTCTTCTGACTATTAACTATATAACTATATATGAGGAATGAGTGTGAACTTATAAGATGAATTTATTTTCCAATTTTCAAGTTCGAAAGCCATTAACTTCTTGCAGGCTTCTCCTTTTGGTACTACCAATTCATTTTTGGAGTTTGACATTTCTTGAGATCTTCTATTTCTTTCATTTTGAAACATCTTCCCTCCTGCAGTACTATGTGTACCAGATTACATGGTTTAAAATGACCATAGGACTAAGAGATGAGATTTGGGGGTCCAGTATTGGATATAACTGGTTGATGTTCATATTAGAAGGATTCTCAGGTTGTCTCATTACCACATGGGACATGAGCACAATTAGAGGTGTCAATTGGACTGGATTTGGTCCAACCCGACCCAGTCCAATGTGAGTCCACTTACAAATGGACTGGACCCAATCCAATCCAAATCCAATACAAACCAAAACCAATCCAATCCATTAAATGTAAATAGATTGGATTGGATCCAATCCAAACCGAATGAAATATAAAAAATTAGATAAAAGCACTTTTGACATTGAAAAAGCACTTTTGTAAAAGTATTTTGATAAAAGTATTTTCATAGAAGTGGTTTTACAAAAGCACTTTATTGAAAGTATTTCGTAAAAGTGCTTTTGTAAAAGCACTTTTAGAAAAGTACTTTATAGACTTATAAAAGTGCTTTTGTAAAAGTACTTTTACAGTGCTTTTATAAAAGTACTTTTACAGTGCTTTTATAAAAGTACTTTCATAAAAGTCCTTTTGTAAAAGTACTTCCATAAAAGTGCTTTCGTAAAAATGCTTTTGTAAAAATGCTTTCGTAAAAGTACTTTTATAAAAGTACTTTCGTAGAAGTGCTTTTGTAAAAGTGCTTTCGTAAAAGCACTTTTGTAAAAATTCTTTAGTAAAAGTATTTTTATGTGTACTTTCGTAAAAATAATTTTCATAAAATTACTTTTATAAAAGTGCTTTTGTAAAAGTGTTTTTGTAAAAATGCTTTCGTAAAAGCACTTTCATAAAAATAATTTTATGCTGGCTTTGATTGATTTCAAATTGGATTAGGGTTTGGCCTCATGATCGGTTTATTGGAAATTTGGTTTAGGTCCAATTCAAACCAATAAGATAATGGACCAATTTATTTGCATTGGCCCAATCCAATAATTATAATGGACCGTCCAAATCCGATTTGATAAGGTTTGGATTGGATTGGATCCAAACCAAAACCGGTCGATAGACACCCCTAAGCACATTTTTAAAAATTGGTGAAATAAGAGGAACACTTTAAGATTTGTTTTAAAGTTGATTGTGCACTATGAACTCTTTTTTTTATTCTACCTTTCTATAGTTCTATTACTTCCTTTTTTTTGTCTTTTCACATTATATGGTTTTCTTGTTCTTGTTTCATCATAGATGGCTATCATGTGTTGCATCTAGGCTTATCTTTTTTAAAGAAAGGGAAACAATATAAATATCCAATAAAGAGACAACTGACAGGGAGAGGAAACTGTTTATGTTGTTATTCATAATCTTCAATGGGTTTACCATTCCATTTTTTATATAGATTAATACGGTTGATCTCATATTATCAGTACAGATAAACTTAAATACACTAGTGTTTAGCATTATATATTATTACTTCCTTTGATGTTTATTTGAAAAAGTGAGATTGGATCTTGCAGATGAAAATGAGAGCAGGAGCATTTTAGATGCCTTTTTCCTGGGCAAGGCTCTGGCAGAAGTACTTAATGAGCGTATAGAATCTACAGTTGGTGAATTGTTGAGTGCAGTTGGCAGGTTACAAGCTGAGCAGCAAAAGCAAGTACAAGAATTCCAGGTAGAACTCAGCTTTGACTGATGAGTTGCTAACTTGCTACTGCATTTTTAATGCCATCTTGGTTACTTCATGCTTATATTATTATGTTTAACCTTGAAAAAATACAGGTAATTAGTAATCTGCAAAGCGAAGACCTGCATCCTAGTATATTTTCATGCTATGTACACTTATTATGTTTATCCTTTTTCGTGGTTAACATAGGAGGATGTGATCGAAAGAGCCAAACGAGCAAAGGAGAAGGCAGCACGCGAAGCAATGGAAACACAAGGGCTTATTGTCAAAGCTGCCGCAGAAACACCTGCAGTCAGTGATGTGACTCCTGAAGTTTCATCATCTTCATCTGAGTCGACAATCACCAGCACTAATGGAGATCCTACTAACAAGGACCCCATACTTGGGTAATTACTTCCTTTTTTTAATATGGGTATGTGCCTCCATATCTGATCTGCAATTCAGATCTGAGCATACATGTTCATTTCCTAGTAATCCAGTACAGCATATGTTTTGTCAAATGCTCACTTGGCAATGGAAAGCTCCATGGTTGCTATCATATCCCATTTATTTCAACCAGGTTTTTCCAGTTGCAACTCAAGTAAATTTAGGATGCATAGGGATGTCATGGCAAATCCAGGTGGTTAATCTAATGAAGACCCTTAAAAATAGGCTTTGCTGCCATATGGTGCTGTTGGGGTTTGGATTCATACGTGTGGTCCCTTTTATGGGGCCTCCATTTTTTCATGTAAATGTAAATGGCGAAAATCATTTGAAAGAAATGGAGAATGAGGTTTCTGGCAAAAGGATGATGGCCTAAGATGAGGAGAAAGACCCAACACCAATGAAAGAAGTTATACTTCATCTTATGGTTCTTATCTATTCAGTCATTGCTTACTTTCTGTAAAGGTGGCACTTTTGTGTATCTGAACTGCTCAATTCATTACCAAGAAAATGCTCAATTCAATAATGAACTAATAGACATTTCTAACGAAGTAAAAAATCTTGAAGCAAAAGAAAAAAAAAAATCTTATAAACAAAATGGTGGCTAGAGTTGTAAATCGGATCATGCCGGGTTGGCACATGGCTTTGTGGGTTGCCCGTGCTTTGGCAGGTTGTGCTTGCCTCCTCTGGGATACATCAAAGGTCAGCCCCGATATGACCCATGGCATGGGTTGTGGGCTGAGCCTTGGGCCAGATCAGGCCATGAGAGGCTTATTTAAAAAAAAATGGAAAAATAATGAAAAATTGAAAATAAACAAAAGAGACAAAAATTGAAAAAATCTTAAAATTTTATTTTATATGAATTTTGATGTATATAATTGTTTATAAAATGAAATATTAAAATGAAATTAAAAAATTGCAATATAATTAGAATAAAATAGTTAACTAATGTACGTAGATTGGTGGGGACTTGTTTGATGTAACGACAACACCAACCATTCCTTGGTGTCAAGGTTCAAAGTATTGATACGTATCGGCCGATACGTATCATGCTGATGCTTACTGATACACCCCTCTAGGGGTTGTATCGGGCCAGCCATCTATTCAAAGGGTAGCCGGGCCTTAAATCGACCCCTCTGAACCGGTTTCGGAAAAAAATAAGTAAAACTAATAAAAATGTATCGACACAGGCCTATATGCCCTACCAGTGTATCGGCCCATGTCGATATTTGGAACCTTGCTTGGTGTAATGGAGAAATCTCGGATTGACAAACCAGAGAATACTGGTTTAGAGTAAGAGTAGCCACTTTATGGAAAAAAAAGGAAAAAAGGCCTTAAGTTCAGGTCTTGTATCCATAGGATTGCAAATGGGTCAAATTGAATATCTAAATTTGGATTCAAATGGAATTTTATCCATTGTTTCTTTCATCAAATACCAATCGAATTTGGATTGCAATTTTGATATTGAATAGTATTAATAAACTAAAAATAAATGATCAAAATATTACATATTATTAATAAATGAAACTTGAACCAACTTATTTAGTAAAAACACAACATTTAGATTAGCTTTACAAATAGATAAATATAAATTTTAGGCATTAGCCTTCGGTGCATTCTATGGAAATTGTAGCAGCATAACTCCAAATGCAAATGAACCAGTTATAAATCAATATGTTATAATGGCATCTTTGATGTTAAAGTCTTAAACACACTGTGAAATGTGGAAGTACACTTGTAATGTGAACCAATAAAAAGTAAATAAATCATGTGATGTGTTTAATGTATTGGTTGAAATTTTAATTAACATGAAACAAATATTTGAAATAATCATGGTTGGACTTTAAATTTTGATTATAACATGTAAGTTTTAATTAAATGGGATACTTGAATAAAAGAAAGAAAAATCTGTTTTCTGATGTGATTCAGAGAGAAAAAGAAGAAAGAGAAGAAAGATTAACCTAGAAACGAAGAGAAGAAGAGAAAAGAGAGAAGAAGAGAAAAGAAAGAGAAAGGGTGCAGTTAGTTAATTCTAGCCACCCCATTAATTCTTATTTATACTTGTAACTTAACAAAAGGTAGAATTCCCCTTATACCCCTACTAACTTCATAAGAAAACAAAAACAAATAAATATGGCCCAATTGGCCCAACTACCATAACTGTCATGAAGTAACATAAAGAAATAAACACAAAAATAAAGTGTGGGACCATACACTTTAGGGAAGACACACTTCCCTCAAGTTGGGAGTAGAAATTCGTCATTCTGAACTTGCGTAAATCCGTCTCCAATTGATTTTTGTGACTGTTTTAGTGAAGAGATTAGCTAGCTGTATATCTGAGGCAATATAGGGAAGACACACTTCTTGAGATGCAACTCGCTCTTGGATAAAATGTCTGTCCAACTTAATATGTTTAGTCCTGTCATGTTGTATTGGTTTGTAGGCAATGTTAATGGCAGCTTGATTATCGTAATACACCATTAGAGGTTTCTCATATTCAACCCCCAACTCATCAAGTAAAGATCTAAACCATAACACTTCTGCAACACCGTTGGCTATGGACCTGTTAGCTTCAGCATTGGAGCGATCAATAACATTTTGTTTCTTGCTTCTCCAAGAAACATGGTTTTCCCTTAGAAATACACAACACCCAGAGGTAGATTTCCTTTCATCAATACATCTAGCCCAATCAACATCTATACATACCTCTATCTTCATGTGACCACTATTTCTGAAGAGTACGCCTTTCCCCGGGCACCTCTTCAAGTAAGCAAGTATCATTTCCACCACAAGAAGGTGGATGGTCTTAAGAGAATGCATGTACTAGCTAACAACACTAACAACATAAAAAATATCTGATCGTGTTAGGAAAAGATAAAGAAGGTTCCCAGCCAACTTTTGATACATAGCTTTGTTCAAGAGGTTCTCCACCTGCACTTATTTTACGGTTCAACTCAATGGGTGTGTCAACAGGCTTTACTCCTAACTTTCCAGTTTCTTCCAATAAGTCAAGAACATACTTTCTTTGAGAGGCAAAGAAAGTCAATGTCAGTACAATATCACTTCAAAGAAAGTCAAGAACATACTTTCTTAAGCAATACTTTCCCAAGAAATAGTGCAATTCCCCCAAGTTCTTCACTTCAAATTCCTAGTGAAGATATTGCTTAAGAGAGTCAATGTCACTAATATCACTTTTTGTCACTACAATGTCATCTACATAGACAACAAGTGAAGTCAAGGAGGAGTTTGTCTTCTTGAAGAAGAAAGTGCGATCTGATTGAGCTTGCATATAACCAAACCTTTCCAAAGCCAGTTTAAACCTATCAAACTAGGCTCTTGGAGATTGCTTTAGCCCATATAAAGCCTTCTTTAGTCGGTACACCTTCTTTCTTGCTTCTGTACTATAAAACCAAGGGGTAACTCCATGTACACCTCCTCCTACAAATCTCCATTGAGAAATGCATTCTTGACATCCATCTGAAACAGTGGCCATGAGAAATTTGCAGCAATTAATAGTAGGACTCTAATAGCGTTCATCTTGGCAACTGGTGCAAAGGTTTCCAAATAGTCTATGCCATAAGTTTGTGTGAATCCCTTTGCAACCAATTTGGCCTTATATTTCTCTACAGAACCATCAACATTATATTTCACTGTAAACACCCATCTGCACCCAACATGTTTCTTCTTCTCGAGCTGGTCAACTAGCTTCCATGTATTGTTTTTAACAAGAGCATCAATCTCTACTTTCATTACTTCCTTCCACTCATGGATCAATAGGGCTTCTTGCACTGTTCTGCGAATAGGAATAGCAACAATCGATGCCAAGAAAGATCTATAGGATTTTGAGAGACAATCATAAGAAAGAAACTTGGAGATACAATGAGAAGTGGATGAAGTACAACAACACTTCCCTTTACGAATTGCAATTGGGAGATCAAGGTCATCTAAAGGAGAAGGCTGAGGCTTAATAGTGTTAGATAAAGCATCTGTAACAGTAGGCTCAATAGTGGAAGTAGTGTTTGGATATGGGGTTGTAGAAGATGTTGAGATCAGCCTGGACTGTTGAGGACAGGAATCAACTTGCTTCCATTGCGTGTGATACACTCCTAATTCCCTACACTTCTGACAACCCTCTTCATGGCACTCCCCCTCAATGACTGGAATAGGTAATGGAATTTTTGGGGATGAAATTGCTTCCTCACTACTCTCCCCCTGAGAAGAAACCCTATGATAATAGGGCACATCCTCAAAGAATGTAACATCCATAGACATAAAACGCCTCCTGAAATAGGCTCATGATAGCAATACCCCTTTTGATTTTGTGCATACCCAAGGAAAAAACATTTGGCAACTTTGGGATCAAATTTGGAGCGATGAGGTCCAAGGGTTTGAACAAAACAAGTGCACCCAAAAGTTTTAAGGGGAATAGTGAATAGATCATTGTCTGAATATAGGAGGATGAATGGTGTTTTCATGTCTAAAACCCGTGAAAGAATTTTGTATGTCTACCCCATTCTACTGAGGTATACGAGGACAAATGCTCTGATGAATGACTCCATGATCTAGGAGATATGAGGCCAAGGATTTTGCAAAGTACTCCTTGGCATTATCGGATCTGAGAATTTTGATCATAATTCCAAATTGGGCCAATACCATCTGATGGAAAACCTGGGTTAGAGAGGGGACCTCATCTCGAGAGTGCATAAGGTAAACCCACGAGAAGCGGGTATAATCATCAACAAACAATAAGAAGTATCTGAACCCCCCATAGCAAAAATATGATATGGTCCCCAAACGTCTGTATGCACAATTTCAAAAGGAAGATTGCTTCTTTTATTGCTCAAAGAATAAGTTGATCTACAATGTTTTGCAAGTTCATAGCTTTCACACCTCAAGTTAGACACTTGGATTGACTCAAACAAATTAGGAAACAGACTCTTCAAAGACCTAAAAGACAAATGAC